ATGTGTGTGTATATGTACATATATATTTATATATATTTGTGTGTGTGTATATATATACATGTATATATACTGTCATAGGATGTTTGTAATTGTCTGTGGGTGATACAAGTGTGGGCGTACATATTTGACGAATTTCCGTATATACATACATTGCGTCTTTATATATGCTTGTCTATTTGAGACGGGAGCATGTGTTTGTGTCCACATATATGTATGTAAATTATAAAACTTTTGAACTGTACAACGATATATAGGTACACACTCAACACACCGCATTCTGGCTGTCGCCTATCGCACCAGCATACGCCATGCATTCCTACAACTAAAACCATACAAGTTGAGCTATATATACTATTGTAAATGCCAGAATAGACACCAATAGGATACAAATACTTACAATTTCAATATATATATATATATATATGTATGTATGTATACATATATATGTAAATATGTAAATATGTAAATGTGTGTATATGTATGTATGTTGTATTTATTTATATATATATATATATATATGTGTGTGTGTGTATATAATCAAACCCTTACCTCTAGCTTACGGTTCTTTCCCACAGCCCTACTGGTAGCCTGCTGCCCTGACTTTAAGAACTTATCAATATACCCCTGGTGATGCTTGGCGATGCCCGCAGGCATGAGCGTCTCTATCTTCTCCCCAATAACCTCCTCAGCAGTGTAGCCAAACAACCTCTCAGCGCCCTTGTTGAAAGCGTTGATACGTCCCCCTGTGGCAGTTGTGGTGATGTGCGGAATATTATCATAACGTTTGTGTGTGTTGGGGTAGATGTGGCAGTGTGTAGATGTAAGCATGTCCATGTGTGTGCATACGCCCTTATGCACATGGTTGTGTATTAAGGTGCATGTATATTTATACAGGAGAATCTGTAACGGGTGTGTAATGATATTACTGCGCCAGCACCGAATACTTTAGAAATCCTAAAACCCTAAACCCAATAATAAAACCCTTAAAACCCTATAATAAAAAACCCTAAATTCTTAAAGCTCCCAGTACTTTAGTAAACCAAACACTCTCAACCTCCATTGCTCTGAGTCTGCATACCTTGTTCAATCAGAATGATGGCATCCGTTGCACAACTGAAGATGGCATTCATAATCATTGTCTTGTCATTGGAGCCCTTCCTGCAGGTTATAAATAAGCACCATTCCATTGACCGGGAAGATATTAGTGGTGAAAAGCTATTATAGTTTGGCACATTGGATGTATGTGTACACTACTACCTGCATAAATGTATTGTATGAGAGCCATACGTATACATGTATATTAGCATGCATTTGTCAAAGCTGTACATATACGCATTCATTCATATATATATATATCAATATATAGATAAATTGATATATATATATATGTATGTATGTATATACATACATACATACATACATACATACATACATGCATGCATGCATGCATACATACGTACGTACGTACATACGTACATACACACTTACATACATATATATATATATATATATATATATAATATGTTTTAGGGTTTTAAAAACCCTAAAACCCTAAAACATGATAACAAGCCGTACCCACGTATGTAAACCAGCACACACACAGCAGTACCTTTCCTCCTCCAGTTTTACACGACTACTTTCAACCGCGTGCAAATCTCGGAATAGAACTGTAAAGGTCCGGTCCA